ATATATATTTCTTTTATTATTGACTGGCTAATTCAATGTCAGTAAACAATATGTTTAATTTTTGTACGCATGTTTTGATCGAGAGAGCCATTCAAATATTAACGAAATACAAAATTTGCAGTAATGTTTCTTATATCGTGTTAATTAAAAGTTGTGTGAGAGAAGAGAGAAAACCCGGCATCATGGAAAAGAAGCAAACAATAAACGAGAGATGCGAGTAATCGACTTTACATGCCATTTTTAAAATACGAACATGATGTAGTGAAAAAATAAATTCTCATTTCATACAACTCACTTCAAACTGCGGATTGACAGAAGAGATCTCGAGATGCACGTGTTGTTGAATTAATAATCTTATTTATTAATTATAATTAGTGTAACGAAATTTAGCAAGTTAAAAGTTTTATGATATTGTCATGGATGAAAAGAAAGATGAATTTACTATTGAAATCGAAGCAAGAATGTATGCACCTTTGGAGTGGGATTCACCGGCGATATGCAAAATACAGGATCTCAAGGAAGCGCAGTACGAGGAAGCTCTACGTTTGATAAAAGTTTAGCAGTAGGAAAATCTAGAGAGACCATATAACACACTCGCATAATAATTCCACAATAATCAATTATTAGCTTGAATCGAGCGAAAAATGCGTCAACAACATTTCCTAGTTTTTTTCAAATTTTCCTCATTCCCTGTTCTTTTATTCTTCTTATCTGTAAAATATTTTTCTGGAGAACTTTGATCAAAAAAGCACGCTTGAGTTATTCATTGTTTACAGATTATTATTTACGTAATTTATATAATTATTATTTATTTATTCAACTTTGAGAAAATGTATTATTTTAGAAAATATCATAAAATATTAAACAGATGACAGATTCGTGATTGATTTCATTTTAGTGTTGATTCGCTCTCTAACAGTAATTTATCAAAATTATAAAATAATAGAAAATAAATATTTCTCACAAGTATTGTAAAAATGAATATTTTTTATTCTCGTGCAGCATCATTTCTTTCGGGAGGAGCCGATGTGTAAGGCGATTGCCTTGCTGCAGGATCAGATATCCGTGAACGCGTATCTACGTCTTCTGAGAACATGGATGAAAGATACCATTAGTTTGGTAGCACTCAGTCTGGCATCAGGACGAGTTATTGGAGTTGCTGTTACGCGAATTAACAGTGATTCGAATAAAAGTGACACGTATAATCGTGTACAAGTACGCGTCATTGCAAACTCTGAGAAATTGCAAATTTAACGCACGAGCTTTTAACTTGAGCTTTTGATATACACTTTGATTAATGTTACTATTATATTATAAATCTCTTATTATACGCAAATGAAAGTTAAAAGCGGTATTCATAATTATATTTAGAATTATCTTAACACGTTGGCTGCTATTGAAAATTAGAATATTTTTTTAAAGTGCCGTTTTTTTAAATCTTTTTTTAATCTCCGTATTTATATAAAACATAATAAAAAATTAATTTATTTGATAAGAGACTATTAAAATATATTTAAGTAACTGTTTTCTTATCTACAAGATAAAACGTGAGTTATTTTTTATCTTATATTGCGAAGTGAAAGAAGAAATTAATTTATTTTTTTTATTTTTTTGAAGTTGTCATCTTTTTAGATTTTATAACGTATATCTGGTCAAATTTTTAAATATTAAATTTTAACAAAACTCTTCTTTGCATATACGAGTACATATACGAGCCATTTTAAGATAAGTACCATCTTAAGATAAGTTACATCCTAGATAAGTTGGACCGAGCAAATTATGCGACGCAAGAAACGTATATTCGGTTGGTCCAGCATTTCGAGGGAGATACTCTGGAGAAAATTATGGATTTGATCAACACTCTGGTAAAACGGACGAAGGCGCATAAGGAGCTCGAGTGTGACGCATATTTCCGAGTTCATGTCCTCTGTGTTCATCCGTCCTACCAGCAAAAAGGCATCGCCGTAGCCCTGCTGAAGGCTTGCATCCAAGTGGCATCCACCTTGGATTTGCCGGCCATCGGTGGCGTCTTCACGTCGGGTATAAGCCAATCGTTGGCCCTGAAATTGGATTTTCGTCTCATCGCGGAGATCCGCTATAGTCGCTGGATCGTCAACGACAAGGTCGTATTCGACAGTACAGGCAAGGGAAATTACTCGGCCGCTTTCATGGGAATGCGAATACCTCGCGAGGAATTGTCCAGTGAGCTGGGAGACGGAAAATAACAATCGCGATCGTATATACCGTGCGTTGATATACGAATACCGTGTATTGATATAAAATCACAAACGACGACGTTAAATTTTCGCGCCATCGCGCGGAGATGTGAGAATTTCTTTCCGCGCATAAAAGGTGAAATTCGATTGTTTCTTTTGAGAAAATACATCAATTTGGAAATTATGTATTAACTTACAATAAAAAATTAATTGTTATTAAGAGTGACGTATAAACAAGACTCTCATCATCTCCGATTAGTTTGATCAGTCGATTAAATTTAATAATTGCCAATTACAAACTGTAGAACTGATAATTTTTAATCCAATTTTTAATTATTTCACTTAAAAATAGTACTTAATTGTTATTTAGAAATATTATTTTACATAAATGAAATATAACTTGCAGAAAATGAATAAATATATGTATATTTTTGCCGATATAAAATTAATCTTTTTATCGGAAAGCGATTTTATCGGTAATGTCGAAAAATGAAAGTATCTACATACGTAGTTCCAAAAATGTGTCAGTGATGCGGTACAGAGGATTTCGACGGTTCCAGAAAAAACACTGGTATGGTCGTCCTCAGGCTTCGCTCTGGTAAATATAAAGATTATAAAAAATAAACATAACACACTTTAACTGACATCGAGACTCCGCGGCGCGTCGGCAGGGTTCGCTGGCGCGGCGCGAGCGGCGGGGTTCGTTCGAACTTGGCGGATGTGCGCGCGCAGCATGACGACATGCGCGAGGGAAGGCCGTCGCGGCGGCGGCGGCGGCGGCGGCGGGTGCCGGCAGTCAGTGCATGACGGCCCGAGGTTTGTATCGATATCGTATCTCCGCGTACGGCTCGCTCGTTCGCGAGGGAGAGAAGGAGCGAAAGGGAGAGGGAGAAAGAGAGACGTTTCCCCGGGGTCGCGCGACTCCGCGACGTTACGGCCGACGCGAGCGGATCGTTCGTCGTCGCGTGTTCCGAGATTTTGGCTCTGAAATTCGCGCCGTTTGACGAGACGAACTCGAACACGCAGTGCGTGACGCGAGACGCGAGGTGTGTGACGCGAGTTACGACGCCAGACAGATTCGGCGGAGCTACATCGGCGAGAAGAGAGAGAGAGAGAGAGAGAGAGAGAAAGAGAAAGAGTGAGGACGAGGAGAGAGGACGGGAGTACGCGACGAGTCATCCCGGTGAGTACATGGACCTCATTTCGATATGGCGTGAGAATTCACGAGGCGGCTGACCTTCCGACGTACCTCGTGCGCCCTCGTGACTTTTGCGAAGCGTTTTTTTTTTCGCGAAAGAAACAAGTCGATCGATGAACGATTACATTTACGAATTATTATATATTGTGTATTGTGTATCCTTTGTTTGGCGATGAGGACGAAGAGGGAAGCCTTTCTTTTATCATGAATTTTATTTGTTTGTGTTAGCCGCATATTTAAGAATATTTGGTAGATTAGGACGTCTTTGAGAGATGTTTGTATTGTCTAACAGATATTGAAAATAATATAATAATAGAAGATTAATTTCATGAAAGAGATAAACAGATGAGAACAGAATAGGGAATATTTGTTAGATAAAGACACGACAACGGTAAATTAAAAAGAAATTATGTAAGAATGACGAAAAATATTTAATTTAAATGTTAGAATATTAGAATATTAGAATTTTAAAATATTAGAATTTATTTTAAAATTGCAGAAAAGGAACGTAACAATATTCTATTGGTAACTGATTCTTTTCTGCAAAATTTGATTTGCATTTATTGAGAGGAAAAGATAGTTTTTAAGAAATTGAGTTAAACACACATTAAATTAAGAAAACGCAGATAATAAATCTAACATTTCAAGAAAATAGTCTTATTAAATATACTTTTACTTCGTAGGAAGATACGAAATGACAGGGACGTTCAGGATCTGTAACTTTGTTATTGAGCAAAGAGTGAATTTTATATGACTATAACGAGATTATACGACTCGCGCCCCTACTTTTGTTTGTTACCGCGAGGAAATCTTGGAGTTTCTTATCTCAAATACACTAGTGTATGTTTCCGAACATAACGAGAGATATTCTCGAATCTTCGTAAGAATTTTTATCGCAATGACAATGCTTGATTTTCGGAAAATACACGGATTTCCGGAATATACACGAGTTTCCTATACTCCTCTCGATAATTAACGCGTCTGCAATTTGTTCCTTTTCCAAAAAGGAGGAAAGAGATTCGGAGGAATATATTCGCATCGCTCTAAAATAATGATCTGCTCGACGAATGGCATTGCACATTTTTTTACCGGAAGAAGTCACGAGGTCCCTCGCGAGACCTCGAATCTCGCGAATGTTTCGAAAAACACGAGTCCGCGATTATTTCGCGGGATCATTTTGCGCGATGACGTCGCTCCGCTAGTCGATTTCCATCGGACATCCTTGGAACACGAGGGTCAATGAGCGACACGCTTGCTCGACACGATGTTTAACGATCCGGAAAATGCCCGGGAGGAGCTCGACTTGTAAGGCAACAAGCTGTGTATCTATGTGTTTATGTCTTTATTTCGTCATTAACTTTTTTTAGTCACGGTGGAAAACTGTCTCAATCCGTCGTGTTTTCTACCGCTGCGTTCTGACACTTTCTATTCTTTTTCTATTCTTTATTCACGTTCTACATATTTTCTTATTCGCGTTTCGACACTAGTAAATTATTGAACTCCGAATGATTCTAAAATAATTCGTAGATAATGTAATTTTTAATTTTATTTGATGCAATTTTTGTTTTATTTGTTAACGGAAGCAAAGCATTTAATCTAAAAATGAAGCAAAAATTAATTGAATTATAGATTTTAATAGACGAAAGTCTTCGGCTCTTTGTTAAAAGGTTTTAGATAAAAATTAAAGATAGCGGGTTGATAAAATTGTGCTTGTTGAATACTACATGTTTTCTTACTTACGATCGCGATTTCCTCATTGTCGCGAAACACGTTCAGCAAATCGGGCATGAAGGTTATTCACATAATGGACAAGGCTAACTTTGGCATTGCCATACATGTGACAACGCGATGACGTGTATAGTGTACAGAAGTCGATGTACGTCAAGGTATGTCAAGTTGGTTTGAAGTTACGAGATAATTCAAGCGCCATCGAGAGTTACGAAATCGTTCGCGCAAACGATCCGTCGAAGATCCGAGTAACTGGAAGGAATAACCCAATCAGAATCAAAACTTTTTCAAAACAAATCTTTTTATATAGAGAAATATAAAAATAATCATTTAATTATTTTTAATGTTCACGGAAAGAGATCTGGAATACAATCGAATGCAAAAAATCGAAATATTTACATTTATGTATTTGACATGTAATTAATTTAAAATATTACCCCGAAGGAATGTAAAATAAAATACATTTTGATAAAAATATTTGTAATAACGGAAGATTAGACGAGAAATTTATTTGAAACACACAGAGTTTACATAGGAATTTGATAAGAGTGAGCAAGGTCAATCTGGAAGTTATCTTCTCGTATTATTAAACGCTTCTTATCGAAAGCTGTTAAATGTACGCATTTATCAAATCCGAGTTCGGGAACCAATAGGAGAATCTTCGTTACCAATTACGGTCGTACCGGAAGCGGAAAGTCGTTACTGAGGCATGTGTCGTCGACGGTTTAGAGAAGAGATTGCGCGTTCGTGCGCGGCATGGAGCATCCGCGCTAATGGCGATAATGATAATGATAATCATATTAATGGCGATAATGCTGGGCGGACTCGTAACAATCGCGGAAACAAAACGCGATTTCGGAGCGAACTTCAATACGGCTCTATTCCAATTATTGCATACTCGATAATGCGTGGAGAGATGAAGTTTGGATCTTTATGCAGAACCTGTTGTAACAATCGTAATTTATTCTCCTCCGACTAGCTAGTCCTTCGAATTATCCTTTTGAATATTATTTCGCAAAATTACTGGCCAAATCCTTTCGTTCTTGTTAAAGCTGTATGCCAGTTTCGTATTCCGGTAAATAAATTTTAATTGTATTAATTAACAAATAGGTATTAGTGACATATACGCATGTAATATACGCGAGTATGCCAATGTGTTGTCAGCAATGTCGTTTCTAAGGTGCGATTGTCTGAAAGTTAATTTCACGCGTGTGTTCTCTCACGAGAAAGAGAGAACAGTACAGTATTTATGTGCATCGAGCAGCGTATTTATGTGAGAATACTCTCGTGTCGAGAACGGTCACTTAAGTACTGAATTACGAAAGTTAGTGATAAAGTAACTGGCAATACAGTACTTCCGGTTTTCGTTTTTATCGTCGTTGATAGGTACCTTTAAGAAACATTCCTTATTCCTTTGATGTGGGAATATCATATTAATTTCTAATGATAAATATATTAATATCTCGTATCAGTTTGAGTGTCAATTGAATAGAGAAAAATTATATGTCACTCAAGTGTGTCTTGATGACAACACACTTGTAAGATTAAATAGCTATAATAATTTAGATATTCAGTAGATTCAGTTGAATGGAATGACTGTTCGCATGAAAATTTTGATTTAAAAATAGATTTCTGGAGAATTATATTATAAATTATTAATTATTTTATTGTACTATTTATTGTACTTTTATATTTTAAATCATAATTTTCTGCAAATTAACGCAATCAATCATACATATTAATATTAATACATAATTATATTAATGCGTTTAATTGTATATATTAATATTCATTAGACGACTCGTTTGTCGAATTAAATAATTATATTTTAAAATACTCCTAATTGAATCAACCGGTTGTCATCTAATAAAATCGCAGAACGATGAAGCGAAAACTATGACAATGTTTACTCGCTCGTGAATAACAATTAAATACTAGTAGAAATACTAGTTATAGTGTTTTTATGCACGCAATAAAATTTTTATTTATATACATGTAATAAAACTTTATTATTTAGCTTGTTTACACTTAGTTGTCTTTGCAGCATTCGCATTGTGACATTTTGTGCCGCACGGCGTTATCATTTCTGTTTTAAAATACCGAGAGAAAAATGTGAGTGTCCCTCACGATTAATTAGCAGTCGTTATACCGTCCGACTAATTAATCTTTATGGCGACGATTTGTTGAGGCGGATATTTTGTGCGATTTACAATTGATTTGCGAAACGGGA